CATATTTATCAAATTATTAGTTTATCTATAAATATACTAAAAGTATTATTGATATTAATTTATCAATAATATTAAAATACTAATAATATATAAATTTTATTTATTTAGTAATAATAAATATATATCATTTGATATATTAACAAAAATTATAATATACGTTAATTTGAATAGACGAATAATTGTATAATTTTAAAACATTGTATATATATATATATATTAAAATTTTTTACTACAGAGACTTGGGTGCGCTTGCCTATTAAAAATCTTATCAAACTATCCTTCGAGAATCTTTTTTATTACTTCGAGATTTTCCAATTCTATCCCAACACCTTTATTATAGAGTTTCTTCTTTATAATTATCCCATGCTCCATTATCATATAATATTTATCTTTTTTTTAAAATAGGATTGTTTGATTCTCCTGCTTCAAACTTTACTTTAACTCCTTCATTTTCCGATTCAGAAGTAGAATAATTTATAATTACTTCCTCATTTTCTTTATCTTCTATACTTTTTACTTCTTGAATTTGTTTATTTTCTTCTTCTATAATTTTTAATCGTTCAAGTAATTGTTGAATTTTTTTTATATATGTAAGATTTTTAATATCTTCCATAAAATCTTCTTTTAACCTCTCCATAATACATTTTTATTAAACTTGTTTCGAAATTCATTTTTATAATTTCTTTTGGTGTAGATATAATTATTTCTTCTCATTCATTTTTTGTAATACATTATTTATCTTTTCTGATTTTTAAAAGTTCTTCTAATTGTTTTAATACTTCACGTATTTTATTTATTTTATCACTTTCATTTGTATCTTTCTCTTGATTAATAATATTATAATATTTGCTCTAATTTATATTATGAATTTATTTTAGTTCTATATTAATATTATTAGAAGTAAATTCTGCTATTTTATTTACTACATCTAAATTGATATTGTATTTTTATCAATTTTTTCTATCATTATTTTTAATTTTTTTATTTATGTTTTCAAATTTTTCTGTAATTGTCATAATGCAATTACTAATTCTTTAGGTTTTCAGTCAATTTTTGTCTTATTAGTGCCTACTTGTCTTAGTGTTATTGGTTAAATGTACCACACCCCTTCAAAGAGAGGAGTGCCGGAGAACTTATTACCCCAAAACAATGTCCAAGTCCATAAAACCCTACTTCACATCTGACATCACTTATCCACTAGCTGTTATAGGTCGCCGCGTCCATCTATATCTAAAAGGTCTGGACCCCGAATGCCATGCACAACAACACGTATTCACCAACGTGTCCACCTTGCCGCCCAAATCACTCACCATCTCAATTCTAAATTCTCAACCCATGAGCCCGCACCACACATTTTTGTTTCTAAATCACTGCCAATGCGACCCGGCCTCAAAGCTCGTGTTACAGTGATACAGTTAGTTAATTTTTTTTTTTTTATTAATTAAAATTTGAAATTAAATATAATTTTTCTTATACTTCATATTTTTTAATATAAACTTGCGATAAAGAAGGATAAGCAATCCTAAATTCTACTGAAAATTTAGAAAGAGGTTGACCGATCTTGTACTAATTTAAACTTCTTTAATTTTAATAAAAAAATTAAAAAATTAGAAGAAGAAAAAAAGTGTTCCTTTCCGCCACCACAATTTTTTTCGATTCAACACATGTCAACCAGCATGTCATTCCGTACGCGTGGCCAAATGTCCATGCAAGTTGTTAGAGAAAAGACCGATATTAGTTCTCCTTTTGAGAAAACAAGATGAAAATAAAAAAAACTTTTTAAAGATATTATTAAAGGAAAATTTATTATAAAGAGAGAGAGTTTATATAAACATACGTAATAAATCTGTATTATACTAAAATATGCTTTTTAGATATTGGTTCTCCTTTTGAGAGAACAAGATGATGAGAAAAAAACTTTTAAAAATATTATTGAAAGAAAATTTATTATAAAGAGAAAGAATTTATATAAACATACATAATAAATTTATATTATACTAAAATATCCTATCTAGATATTGATTCTCCTTTTGAGAGAAACAAGATGAAGAGAAAAAAAATTTTCAAAAATATTGTTAAAAGAAAATTTATTATAAAGAGAAAGAGTCTACGTTATATATATAGATAGACATACATGGACATACGTAATAAAAGTGTATTATACTAAAATATCCTATCTTAGTATATATATATAATAACAACTCAACTAATTTTTCTAAAATGCTATATCAGTCTTTAAGACAAGTTAACAAGAGCCTTCTTCTCTCCTATAACTAAAAATAAATAGCCGCAACATCGTCCGTGTGTTTCATTATCGAGTAGAGTGTGCAACATTCCAGTAGTGAAACAATTTATATTCTAGAATGAGAGCGCGGTTGGCACTGCTGCTGTTGCTGGGAATTGTTTTCCTAGCATCAGTTTCTGTCTCACTAGAGGAGAAGCCGAGTCGAAAGAAGTGCCTGCAGCGTTGCGAGAGAGAGAGAGATCTATACAGGCGGCAAAGATGCCAGGATCGTTGTAAGCTCGTTCCTGAGCGCGAGGAGCAAGAAGAAGAAGAAAGAGAATATCCACGTCCACACCCACGACCCGAGGAGAGGGAGGAAGAAGAGTGGAGAGGGCAGCATCGCCGTGAAGATCCCGAAGAGAGAGAGCGGATGAGGCAGAGGGAGAGGGAGAGGGAGAGGGAGAGGGCCAAGGAAGAAAAACGCCGGCGACGTGAAAAGGAGGAGCAACAAGAAGAGAGAGGTGTTAGTTACCCTTTTCATTTGAGCTCTAGGAGATTCCACACTCTCTTCAAGAACCAATACGGTCACATTCGTGTCCTTCAGAGGTTCGACCAACGCTCCACACAACTTCAGAATCTTCGTGATTACCGGGTTTCGGAGTTCACGTCCAAACCCAACACCCTCCTTCTCCCCCACCACGTGGACGCTGATTCCCTCCTAGTTGTCCTTAGCGGTTAGTATTTAACTATAATTGTCCATTGACTACTACTAAGTGAACATCATCACTTGCTTCTGCTTGTATTAATTAATGGAAAATGGAAATCAATTCCCTAATAATGACAGGGAGAGCCATAATTATCTTCGTGAACCCTGACAACAGAGAGTCCTACTACCTTGACCGTGGTTATGCCCAAAGAATCCCTGCAGGAACCACTTTCTATTTGGTTAACCCAGACGACAAGGAAAATCTCAGAGTAATAAAACTGGTCATATCCGTCAACAAACCTGGAAATTTCGTGGTACAGCTTTTTCTTATTATAACATTAATTAATTCTTCTAATTTATTTCCAAATATGATGACCAATCTAAGTCCTTTCTGTCTCTAGAATTTCTTCCTATCTAGCAGTGAAGACCAACAATCCTACTTGCAAGAGTTCAGCGAGAATATTCTAGAGGCCTCCTTCGATGTAAACATGCAACACACCATCTAATTTGCATTCCCATTTAGTGGTTTCTCTAAATCTCTAACTAATTAAATATTATGATTTTATTTGCTTGTGTAAATAGACCGAATTCGAGGAGATAAACAGGGTTCTATTTGGAGAGAAGGAGCAGAAGCAAGGAGAAGAAAGCCAGCAAGAGGGAGTAATAGTGAAACTGTCAAAGGAACAAATTCGGGAACTTAGCGTTAGCGAGCATGCTAAATCTAGTTCAAGGAAAACCAAATCCTTCGAATATGAACCATTCAACTTGAGAAGCCGCAACCCAGTCTGTTCCAACAAGTTTGGCAAGTTGTTCGAGATCACCCCAGAGAAAAACCTGCAGCTACGGGACTTGGACATCTTCCTCAATTCTGTTGATATAAACGAGGTAAGCGGAAAAACCTGAGGACAAACTCAACTGGACAGTTGAGTTCTATTCACTCTCTTCTTAGTTGGAGAACCTAATCATTGAGACTTTAATAATTTAGGGAGCGCTTTTTCTACCATACTACAATTCAAGGGCCACAAGTATACTAGTGATTAATGAAGGAAAAGCCCACGTTGAACTGGTGGGCCTAAGCGAACAACAGATGCAGCAAGAAAAAACTTTGGAAGTGCATAGGTATGTAGCTGAATTGTCAGAAAACGATATATTTGTTATCCCAGCAGCTTATCCAGTTGTCATCAACGCTACCTCAAATCTCAATTTCCTTGCGTTTGGTATCAATGCCAAGAACAACCAGAGGAACTTTCTCGCAGGTATATATACTATATATCAGAATCAAATTGAATATACCATTGTTACTTTTTTTGTTTTATGGCATGAGAAATGTAGCTGATTAAGTAATTTCCTATCCTTGGTGATTGAAATTTTGAAGGAGCGAAAGACAATATCATAAGCCAGATACATAGACAAGTAAAGGATCTTGCATTCCAAGGATCTGCTCAAGATGTTGAGAAGCTACTAGAGAATCAGAGGGAATCCTGCTTTGTGAATGCTCAGCCTCATCAAAAGGAGGAGGGGAAACGGGGAAGAAAAGGTCCGTTGTCTCCAATTTTGGGCGCTCTATACTGAATAACTATATACTAAAATGTATGCTATGCGAGGAAAGTATCGGGCTATGTAACTAAAATAACTTGAGCTCTACCTTCAACTAAGAATAAATAAATCGAGCATGATGGTTCTGTTTTGGGCCCTTAACTATCTGCTTAGCTAATTTGATAGTTGGCACGTATATTAAATAAGGTACATGTTCCACAAAGCGTGCAGCAGGAAAAGCGATTTGGGAAATGAAATATAAATACTCATCATATATTATATTATTTCTTTTTATCCTTCTTTTTATTATACTAATATAATATTATACCATCTATTATATTACATTATCATCTATCGTATTTTTACTTTTGTCTCTTTACTCGAATGTCCAAGCAAAGAAAGTTTTTCACTTTAAAAAATAAGAGATATAATGGATATGTGATAGGTGATAAGAAATGAAGAGAGATTTAATGATAAAAGATTATATATATATATATATATAAGTGAAAGTAATGTGAGAATATTGATCAAACTGTTGTTTATACTTTTTGTAAGATCTTAATATCCTTAATCGCTAAGAAAGCAATTGGGACGATTTTTATATACTGAATATAAAACAAAAAATAAAGAATGGAGATATTAAAAAATATGTTGGATTAGAATTAGAGTCTCTTTTTTTTTCCTAAAGAGGATTCTTCTTTTGGTTGAAATGTAAAATTTTAATTTGATTAAATCTTGAAAGAGATTAATATAATTGAATGAAAATTCAGATAAATTTTATTAAGATTTTTCTTTTAATGGAGAAGTTTAAACTTCGTTATATATATATATATATAGAGCATTTCAAGTGAAAGAGAATTTATTATAAGAGAGTTAAAATATAATATTTAGATTAATTTCTTCTCACTTAATTAAACCTTATTTTTTTCTCATTTGATTAATTTAAGGTTATATTTTAACCCGCTCATCTCTCATAATAAATTTTCTCTCATTTTCATATATACATATATATATATATATAATCATAGAACAATAATTTTGGAGGAAAAGAGTTACAAGAATTTTATGAAAAGAAAATGAAGATACAGACTCCAATTTAAAGCCACGTCCCGCGGCAAATTAAAGTTTAATTATCAGTTTAGAGATACTAAAAATTTGACTGTCAGCACTGGGATACTGATTAATTGTTGTCAATTTTGAAATAATGATTAATTTTTAGTTATCAAATTGAAAAATTACGTGAATTATCATTATAAATAAAAATAAAAATAAAAAGCTTTCGGACACTGATTAATTGTTGTCAATTTGAAAAATTGTGTGGGAAACAACTAGTGTTTAATGTCAGTTTAGTGTTTAGTAGTCAACTTTGGAATGTTGGTTTATTAGTTCTTTTTTATCAAACGATTAGTATATAGTTGGCAGCTTTAAAATACTGATTAGTTTTGGGATACTTTTTTTTGAAAGGCAAATAAATCTTCTATATACAAGGTACAAGGGGTACCTTAACCCTTTTACAATAGATAGGAAACATGGTATTAGCAACATATTCTTCTTGAAAGAAAAAGAAAACTACATGGACCATTGAAGAAAAAAAAAATCCAATTGAAAGGAGGTTGACTTGGAGAGCTAGAATTGTATAATTTGTGTATCGAACAAAAGCAGAACTGTATTGTGTATCGAACTAAAGCTACAAAACTAATGTAATAAATGTAACAAAATTTCTTGAAAGCATGGATGATGATGATGATGCATGTGCACTTTATTCACAACTCTTTTAAGACCACAAGAATCCCCTACAACGGTCACATGAATGAGGCAATATTCGAGAGTAGGATGAGGCTATCGATTGCAAAGTTTTTCTTTTAAATATTCGAGACATCTCTTATTGGAGAGTAGGATGAGAGTATTATAGATGGCAAAGTTTTTCCTTTAAATATTCGAGACATCGACACATCTGTATACTCCGATCTGGACTTGGACTGATGAAACAATTCCTTACCACTTCATATATAGAAGTGATGTGTGTACGTTCTTATTATTATAAGACAAATTATACACACCAGTTAACCAACAGACACTTGCAGCAAATTCAGCTGCATTATGTTCAGATCTTATAACTACATATCCAGGGTGCACCAAGTCAAGTTGTCTAATTAAATTAGAACAACTACTTGTCAATACACACCAGCTAATGAAAAGCCACTCGCAGCAAATCCAGCTGCAGTAAGTTCAGGCATTACAACTACATATCTGGAGGATTTATTCTTAACATGCAATTTAGGAATAACAGTTGCTGCAGTAAGTTCGAATCTTACAACTACATAAATGGGGAATTCATTCTTAACATGCAATTTAGGAATAACAGATAGCTAAAACACATTTTTTGTGCTTGTTAGCTATTCCTACCCAGCTAGATTGAGGTGCTATAAAGGAAAAAGGAAATCAAGATAAATAACAGATACATAAATAAATTACGATCAGAGATTTACTAGAGATAAATTTACCAAACAAGAAGAAACAAACAAAATAACACCAGATTAATAAAGCATCTCTTGTAATGCAAGATATTTATATTATTAAGATTGCATAATGAGAGAAGAGCACACACTTACCGTCGTTCCTCTGTGAGTACGCAACTGCAGTATGAATGGGATTCAATCAAACAAAGCCAAAATGACGCACACTACAAACACATGATTAAAAAAAATAATATAAAAAAAAATTATAAAAAAAAAAAGACGACAAAAATGATGAGGATTACTGATGAGTGGAGGAGAATCTAACCGATAATCTCGCTTGAAAAGAAATTCTCCCTTCGATAGTTAATGTAAATCAAATTAATAACTAAATACTTTGAAGAATCTGAATTTTAATCGCTTCACGTAGGTAATCTGATTTTTCAAATGCATAAAACAGAGAAGATTCAAATCGAAATCGAAAATGCACAAAATGAACTTTGAATAAAACCCTAAATCATACTTCGAGGGTGAGGATTACCTGGCTGAAGAATGCTCAAGCGGAGCAAAACGGTGGTTGATGACAACTGAAACTCGGTAAACAAATTTGGGAGTAGGCAACATTGTAGAAACGTTGTGTTTTTATTACGTGAAATGCATTTTTAATTTTATACTCGTAAACGATTATTATTAGCAAGGAATTTGTACAAACGTTTGAGAAATAGTCTCAAGAAGTGATTGGATAAATAGGACATGCAAGTGGCATAAGACATGGGACAATTTCGATCATCTTACCAACCAATTTCGATAGTTGAGCAGAGTTATAAGACGGTCCAAAGGTATCCATGAAATGCGGATCAGTTAGAAATCAAGTAGGACCTATACAGTAACTACCTCCCGACACTATGCGCGTTTGTTTTAGCGTTTTATAACATATTTTCACGTTAATTCTGTCCGAAACAAGAAAGTTAAAACTATTTACTTCACATTTGACGTGATTTTGAAAAATTACATTATTGACACCGAATCAAACACACTATATATCTAAAGGCCTAAAAAATAAGTTTTTTTAATAAATCGAATGGAGGTTACAAACAATTCCACATTACATAAACAACGGAATAGTTATATATCATAGGGGTTAATAATGATTGAGAGAGGTTACTCATGTCGCATAGTTGCATAGTATAGAGTGGTGATATGTTTCACGTTGAACTAATGCAAAAATAATCACTCTTCTCCTATCCTTTATAAATAAACGAGACAGACCCATTCATAAGAGTCAAAAAGTTGATACTTATGTGTTCCCTTACATTCAATGCCCACATTCATGGCTTCCTTGCGCACGAGATGATTGAGTATGGTTTTTACGTCAACTTTTTGTTTTTTAGTTTTTTTTTTCTTATTTCTACATAGTTAGGATAGTTTTAGTCCAGTTTATTATTTTTGTACTACATGGCAAACATTGTGTATTGTAATTAATGACTCATTTTCAAATTTAAGGATACGATCGTTGCAAATATATGCGTTGCTCATTCAATTTGTTTAACCATTTATATCCATGATTCTATTTGTATGATATTTATTGAAGAATACATAGAGATTCTGGTGTGTTAAACAACTTCATAATTCAACCTTAACTAATTTGATCAAATAGATGTTATTAGAACTAAAATCTGGGAAAAAAAATACATTTCGTATTCCAACAATGCTTAAACTATGCATATGTCTACGTAGTTAACATATCTAAATTGAAAATTTTGGCTAATTCAAATAAAATGAATCCATAAACGGTTTTTCCCAGAAATAGTTATATAATGCTTGTTGAATTTTATCTATACATGTTATAAAGAGTTTATACATTTTACAAATGAGATACAAAAATTTATACTTTTTTCACCTTTTAATAAGTTATGCTTTTCATTTTTAGGAATTTTAACAATATATTTATTTATAAAATTATTAATTATATATTAAAATAATTAATATAATTCATTGTTTGAAGTTTTTTCAAAAATATAAAAAATTATTCAAGTTGGATATAATTTTATGTATATTACCTCTGTCTCTTATTATAAGACTCCTTCAACTAAATTACATCCCTTAAAAAATTTAGCTCATTTATAGTTAAGAGTAATAAATTTCTCAATTTAAATTACTTTTTCAAAATTAATCTTATTTCTTTTCACTTAATCATTTTCTACTAACTAATTACTTAATGTTTGTAATTTTTAAATATGAAATGATAAATATATTTAATTATTTTATAATTATATTTTAATTAAAATTTATTACATTTATAATATCTATAAACAATATTTTGAATATTTTCTATGAATTAATAAAAGGTTATTAGAAGTTGGAGTAACAAAATGTCTTGAGTCACTCCATCTTATCTCTTCTCATCCCGTCTTATCTTATCACGTTTCACTCGTCTAAGTTAACAAATTGAATCAAAAAAATTTAACTCACTCCATTTAATAATTAAAAAATTATATATGCATAATATTTATCAAATATTAATTCAACAATAATTAATTTAGACACAATAAATAGAATACAAAAGGTGAAACATTATAAAAATAAAAATAAAAATTTAAAATTATTAACAAGTAAGATTTTTTAAATTATCTAGCTTAAAAGAAAAAAATTATTATAAAATAATTTTAAATTTTAAATTTTTAGCTTAAAAAAGCTCATTTTTAAAATAATTTTTTGTATAAATTTAACATGTCTCAAAACTCATATTACTTTGACAATGGTTATGATTAAAATCATTATATAGTAATAAGATTATTTAAAAATAATAATTTTATATAATAAAATTATTATTACAACAATAAATTTTAGCAAGTTCTTAAATAATAATAAATTAATTAACATTAGAATAATGTTAAATATCAAACTATCTGAAATAGAAAAATAATTATCTTAATATGAGAATATATGGGTATAAATATATTTTTTTGTAAATATTTTAAATATTTTTAAAATGAAGATAATAAATTAAATTTTAATAATGTTGTTGTTGGTTTATTAAGAGATAGATTTTTAATATTGGAATTCCAATTTAAAATTGAAGATAATAAAGTAAATTAATAACAGAAATAATAAAATGAAGAAGAAAAAAAAAGTTATTTTTTTGAGCGGGAAAATTTTTAACATGAATGTGACACATGACCAGAAAAACTTTCTTTTATTGTATCTAATATGTAATATGCAATAGATAGACAAAAGCTTCCTTTATTAATTGTAATGATTTCAAATGTAAACAATTACATATTGTATTAAATAAAAGTATTCTAAAAAATATTAAAATCATACTCACACTTTGTATAAAAACTCATAAATTAAAAATACTAAATTTTCAAACGAGTTTTTATAATTTTAAAATTATTCCAAGAAATTACAAATAAAAAATTATTTCTTAAAATAAAAGAAACTCATTAATAAATATTTTTTAAAAAGAATTGTTATAGTTATTCTTCAGTTCATGATCATAAGCTTTTGCCGTGTTTGGAAAAATTAACAATTAAGTCGGTTAAAACTTTAAAATATTAACTTCAAGATAAAATTGATGATAATCTAATTGATTAAAATTATAAAACTGTTAATTAACTGTTAAATTAGTTTATAAATGTGAAATGACAAAAAAAATATTAACTATAATATTAATACAAAATATTTATCACTAAAATTAGTAATTAATTTTACTGAAAAATATAAATACACAAAATTAATATTTATTTTCTAATATAACTTATTTCGTATTTAAGATTAAGATTTAAATTTTGAATAACTTTTCAAGAAACACAAATCCTATTATTTATGTGCAATTAAGATAAAAAAAAAAGTGAGAATAGAAATATAAAAAAAAATAGTTAGAAATTAGAAGCTTATATAAACTGAAAAATTATATAAAATAGCTATTAAAAGAATTACAAAGACGGTACAAGCGACTAAAATGAAATTCTTTATCAAATAGATCTATTTGGATCAAACAAAATTTTAAGGTGCATATTGAAATCTAACTTAAAAAGCTTGTCAAACACACACTAGCGTGTTGATTTGACTATAGAAATGCACATCCACAAGTAAATTGTGGTGAAATGAATACAAAAATAATTATTTAATTTATTGGTTGAGAGAAGCACGTACGGTGAGTCCAAATCACGGTGTTAAATGCATTCTATCAATCAAGCTATATATGAATTGACTCCTTTATTTCTTAATGGAATTTATACTTCTTCATGGGATGATGATGGAGGATGTGCCGATTTATAGGCCGAGTAGTCTTTTTCAGTTGGAACAGGATGCTTTTTTGATGCATCATCATCTAAGCTGTCTGCAACGTACAAAGATATTTCATCAAGGAGCATAGTTAGAGATAAACATTAAACTCTAAACTTTATCATGTCAATTTCTTAAACAGTTACAATGCCAATAGAAGTACCCACACAAATTTTTTTCAATTGGAGTTAATGTTTTATTTAAATAATTGGCATGATAAAAATTTACATTAAAACTGAACTTGATTTATAGTTTTTTTTTTTATTAGGTTCGTTCCTGTTCTGGAGTATCCACCGCTGACAGCAGTGACTAATCTTCTCGTTACGTTGGAAGCACCTCAAAGGGTGGCCCCAAGATTTAACGCGGCTGCATACACAAGGCAGGATTCGAACTCCTGACCTTGCTTAAGCGTGGATCAACCCCTACCGCTACTTGATTTATAGTTTGAAGTAAAATAAAATAATTTTGTTTAAAATTGAACGTGTTGAAAGTGAAATAAAAATAGAAACGTAAGTTGATTTGTTATTTGAAAATGGGATGGAAAGAAATGTAGTTACCCCATAATATGGGGTTTTCGCAGCGGCCTCCGCACCACCATCTGCAGAATTTAGCGGGGTAAATGCACATATCGTAGCAATATTCATTGCACTCTTTTCGTTTTCTGGCGGTATCGTCAGCATCAACAGCTACAGCGAATAGGAGGCATAGCAACAAAAATGCAGCGTGTTTCTTTCCCATTTCACCTTCTACCTTTCTTTCTTTGATTTATTTTACTTAGTTCCCTGTCCTAGTGTTCCAAGAATGATGCCCATATATAGCTCCATAAATGAATCCTCAACCACAAATAATGTCGTGGTTCCTTCCTAAAATTAGGGTCCTCGCTACCAAGTGTCGTAACTTCAATCTTGCATACAAATAGGTTTCGTCTTGCGTTATCCAACATTGATTTAATTTGTCACACATGGAGTACTAATTTATATATACTACAATATCTATAATTAACATGCTGGCAAATTGTCTTCTACACAAAGGAAATGGTTCAGAACTCAACAAATAGGAGCTCCGTTGTTTAAAAGAAAAACCCTAGTTCATTGGGTAAAATGAAAATAGCTTACAAATGCATTTTTGTATAATTTTGTTCCAAGTAATTGTAGATATCTGTTACTTAATAAAAATAAAATTAATTTTAAATAAGATGAAATTTAGGTGAACATGATTATTTAACACATTAATCACTAATAAACATGTTAATTATACAATTCAATATAATAATTTATATAGCATGTTTTTAAATTAAAATTATATATATTTAATTATATATTAATTTATACAATTTAACCTATTAATAAGTTAGCTACTCTATCATTATTATATTAATTAATTTTTTTAAGACTTCTTTAAGATATAATATTAATTTTATTAAAATTTATAAGTATAAAATATATATTATATGAATATTTTTTTTAAAAATTAATAAAAATCAAGTTAAACGAGATTTAATTAGTGACTTACTAATTCAATAACTAACTTAACATTCTAATTAATTTGATGACCGGCTCAATTTTTAAATTTGTGAAAAATTATTTTTAATCATTTACGAAATTACTCTGAGTACTGTACAAATTTTACATTTTATTTTTCCAATCAAATACATGGTTAATACACGTGAAGTAGTTATATGATAGGAGGTGGTTGTCCCGATGAGAACTAGGGGTGGGCAAATTAAACTGCACTAAACTGAATTGTTAAAGACTATATTAAACTAAAAAGTAGTTCAATTAAACTGAACTGAACTGAAAATTAGATTACATAAACTGAACTGAACTGTTTTTTATTCTATTAAATTGTACTGTACTGAACTATACTGAACTATACTGAACTATAATATAAATTAAACTGAACTGCTCTGCACCTTAATCTATTTTTGAACTGCACTATTTTCGAACTGAACTATTTATGAACTGCTTCTAAACTGTGCCGACCTGTTTATGAACTATATCAAAATCTGATTATTCAGCTGCCTTGTTGCCCTTGTACGTGTTTATCAATTGCGTTTGTACATCATGAGAAACTGGTAAATGTTCCTTATATTCCATAGTGAATTCGCCTTTGCCCTGCAGTTATTAAGGAACCACAGACCCAATGGCCCAACTCAATTTTTCCATATATTTTCTCCTAAACTGTAGCAAGCCATCGGCATGAATCATGAATGTCATTTTCTAAGGGCCAAGAGGTATGTGATATTTTCAACTAGCATTAGTCTTTAACGTAACTAAAAAACTCCAAGAGCTAGTTCACCAAATCAATCAAGGAAAACATATAACTCTGAGAAATCGAAGACTCTAGCTACATCTAGACTTTGATCGTATTTTATTGATCAAAGGTTTCTGCATAGTCTGCATAGACAGAACATTTTTATTCCTTTAACCGTGGTAATTTAAAAACTAAGGCCATCAATTTTCAACGTAAGGTTTATATTTTTTATATATAAAAAGGAATAAAGTTGTGTATATTTAATTGAATCCGAAGACAGAGACCCGTGTGAGTTAGGGATTCCGGATTCGCGTACAAGAGCCAAGTGTCGTGCCCGAGCCTACGTGCTTTTATTTTTTTAATTGTAGTTATTTATAGTTAACCAAACTGTAACTTAAATAAGTTCAGTTTTTTAAAACTGAATTAAAAAATAGTTTAATTCAGTTTTATTTTAAATAGTTTTAGTTTTTTAGTTTAAAATAATTCAGTTATTTAATAGTTTTAGTTAAGTTTAGTTAATTTTGCCCAGCCCTAATGAGAACCAATGCATAGAAACGTGTTATGAATCTCTAGGCTAATCTAGAAAAAAAAAATAGTAGAAAAAAAGTCTATAATATTTTAAACAAACAAAATGTAATAAATTTTTATAAAATATATTATTTCATGAAAAAAAAATCTAAAAAATCTATTTTTCTATAAATTACAATTATCTTGTAAATAGATGAACAATTTTCCTTTTGTCAAATTATATTAAGATTTATATTTGTGATTTTGTATGATTTGTTTAATATTATATAAATTTTTCCTTTTTGTCAAATTGTATTAAGATTTATATTTGTGATTTTGTATGACTTGTTTAATATTAGAGAAACTATATAGTAAAAATTAGAAGGATAAAAGTGATAAAGTGGATAATAATTTTTTGTATCTCGTATAATTTTGTATGTTTATCAATTAAAAAAAACTATATGGATAATACTTTTTTTTTTGAGGAATTCTTTTTTATATTAAATGTGGACAGTTACTCCCGCATAACTTTAATTAACATGGGTCCACCCTTTACCTAATTATCAAATATGGATCGGTTTAAAAAAACTTATAAATAACTTATTTGATTTTTTTTTAATATTATAAGCATTTATAAAGGTGTTTTGTAAAATTTATAAAAATATCTTTATGATTAATTCATAAGATATTTTTAACTTATTTTCATAAGTTCTCCAAGATAACTTATAATAATAAGTGTTATCAAATTCAGATTGATTTTTAACTAATTGGTAGATTACTTGTAAAACCCGTGGTTCATTGATCGAATATCAAGAATATGTTTGTATAACATAATATTTAAAAATATTATACATTATTGGTGTCACATTATGAATAAATCTTACATTTTATGCTTTCATGCTCACCTTGGGGTCACGAATGCTACTTGGGTCATATCCAAACATACTCAAAAGCACCTTACTTTGGGCAATCTCATCAATTAGAATTAAGCCTCGAGATAAAGTAACTGCACGCTTGTTCCATGACACTTACTGTGGTCGGACCGGATTTTACATGTAGAAACCGGTCTAAAGGTCTATGTCACAGTCAATAGCATGATCAATTCTATTTTCAAGGATACAAAATACAATTGAATGTATACACTTTACATAATAATATTTTATTTAATTTTTTATTAATCAAAATTATTTATTGATCAAAATTCTTTGTGATAAACTATTTTAAGATGTTTGTCCATCTTTAAGAATAATAACTATTTCTACAAATTTATATATCTTTTAAATGTGTTTTTATCTTTACTTATATATTTTATAACATGTCTGCATATCACTAAGAGTAATGACTATTTTCACAAATTAATATAAAACTTTTTAGTATGTTTTATCTCATTTTTATTAATTCTCTAGGAAATTTCCTTAAATATAATATTAATGGTTAAATTACTCAAAGTCAAACACATTTAATTATAAAGTTCTTAAGTGATAAATTATTGAAAAATAAATATATCTTGATAGTATAAATAATATTAATTAATTATTTTAAATCATCTTGTATAACTTTTTGGATCTTTACCATTTTAGTGTATTTAAGATATTAAATTTTTGACTAATTTGAGCTAGATTTAATAACATGAACGAACCTTATAAAAATGTTACTTTCAATTCTCGACAAAACCAAATAGATAGTGTGCATATTTTTCCCCCTCAAATTAAATATATATTTATTATTTACCACCCAAATTAATATAAATATTAATTTTTATACAATATAAATTATAATTATTCATTTATAGTATTTTTAAAAAAAAATCCTTCTTTTTCACTAACAAATATATAATTTAATTAAATAAACTTATATTTTATATGTTAATTAT